AAAGTTTAGAGCTACCAAGAGTTTCAAAAGCCTCATGAATATTGCATCAGAGAATCTGTGGTGAGAAGCCCTACTGATACTAAACCTGTCATTTTTTGTGAATTATTGTTATGAAGGCAAAGTAGACATTAGTTGGATTTGAATGGGCCACTCACAGATGCCATTGGGCTGACAATTCTCATGGCCCAATAAAATTAGGCCTGAATTCTTTCAGTAAGTTTTAGTTGGATTTGAATGCGCCACTCACAAAGCCCAATCATCATCACAGCGTTTGTCATCCAAGCTTCTCCGGGCATCTCATTATTTTATGATTATTATTTTAAACTTTATCTTTGCCTTCGCAAAAAAAGTTTGTACTACCTCCACTCTTAATTATAAGAGCCAGTTGACTAATTTGAGAATATTAAGAAAATAAGTTGAGTTAGTTATTTGTCCTAAATATGTGTTATCTTTCCTAAAATATCCTTACTAATCAAGTGTATTGACTAGAACTACTATTGTTAGAAGGGCTACTTTGGAAAAAAAATGTATAAATGTGAGAGACAAAATGGATTGGAGTCTTATATTTAGAATCAAAATAAAAGTCAAATAGGTCTTATATTAAATACCAGATGTAGTATTATATTATTTATTTGAAAAAAATGCAGTTTTAAATAAATGAAGCATAATATGGACATATACGTACCCGTATTTCCATACAGTCATTTGAAGGAAATGTTTTTGTCCTGTATATATTGTAATTTTTATATTACTATTTGAAAGAATATTTTTTTAAATTTATAGAAGTGAATGTTTTTGTTCATTCATAACTTTACCGATGATTTGGTTGTTTTTGAAATATCTAGTAAGATGTGGGTCAAAGCAGTAATATATTATTATCTTTTTGTTTGGTTAAATAAGATTTAAGTGGATTTATAAGTTATATCTTTGTTAGCTAAACCAGCTTTCACTATGTTCAATTTCGGTGCTCATCCTTATTGGGAAAAAAAAATCTAAAGTGTCCAAATCTTTAATTTATAACTTTTTAATAATAAATTTATTTTGTATAAAACAACCGTCAAAAAGATATTTTTCACTTATATTTGTATACTTTTCAAATGCGAAAACGGATTATATTAAATTTTATTTGTTCAAAATGTGATGGGCAACACTAAAGCTCACTCCAGTCTCGTTATCATCAAAGTAAAAATATAGCTAACGAAATATAAACATCTTAGAGATAAATTATTGTTGTGCTATGGACACCAAAGGCCTTTGCCTTCCATCCCTTGGATAGATAGACAGAAAAGACAGTTTTTGGTTTTATTTATGTTGTTAAAAAGTTGAACAATAAAAATAGATTACGAGTGCCCGATAGAATTGCTCGGAGGTTCAAAAATGCTAACTTTTATATCCATGTGGCTTGAATTTGAATTTATTCAGGCCAAAATAAAAAAGAATTCGAATTTATCAATTTCATAAGTATCTTAAACTATTACTCCCTCTGTTCGTTATTATAAGAGACGAATAACTGAATTACGATGATAAAAAACAGTTAAAATTAATTAAAAATAATCAATGTGTAAAAAGTACAATTTTTTTTTCAAAAATATCCTCATTAATAAAGAGAAAGAGCATGAGAGAGAACAATTAAATTATTAAAAGAAAAAGAAGTGGGAGGGAGGGAGAGTGTGAGTTGAAGACAATAAATATAAGTAAAATAAGAAATCAACACAAAAAAGTAGAGATAACTTTTAAGTGTATCTTATATATAGAAACATACCATAAGCATCAAATGTCTCTTATAATAAAGAAAGGAGGGAGTATTTGGTTACAATAGGTATTAAGTATAAACTTACACAAACACGCACGCACACACACAAACTGTTTATTAGTCAATTTTCATGTGGGGTTTGTATTCTCTAACACCGAATTAATCAATAAGAAGGTGGCACCAATAATTTAACCCCACTTTTAAAAGAAAATGATTTAAAAAAGTGACTATAATTTTTTCCAACATGGTAACTGAATTTCCACATAAGATCTGAATTGCAAGTGGCAACTACCTCTCCAAACTTTGAAATGCAAGTGGATACATAGAATATCGTTAAGCTCCAAGTATTTGCCATTCTTCCCACCCAACTTCACTTTTGTTTGTTTCTTTATTTTTATTTTTTCAAATTTCAAATATCCTTTTCACTTGCATACGTTCTAAATATAAAAATTAATCAGGAGACTCATTTTACTTTTAAATGTAAAGTCTCAATCCATTTTGTTTTCTAAATCAATAATTTTTTTTCAAACTATCCTTATGAATTGTATGTATTAAAAGAGTTTTTCCAAACTACATATATTTAAGGAGTTAATATCACTGGGAGCAGCTTTTAATAGATTAAACAACAAAGTATAAGAGAAATCAATACAAATTCTTTTTAACAAATAATTAACTTAATTAATATTTTTAATTTTTATAAATTAATTATCTATTTTTTAAATTTAAAGGGAGTAAAATTTATAAACTATTAATTTCCTCGCCATTTAGAATATTATATGTGTAAATACTAATTAATGGGTGACTCTAAAATGGACACTTGGAATCCATTAACGCTGATGGGAGAATGAGGAGTTTGAGACAATTAGGTCAACCTTTTCTTCCTCAGAGAAGGGTCAAAAATACATTGTATCTATTGGATTTGTAGTTGCCATTGTTGACCCAGTTTCTTTCAACCCACTTCAACCATATTACTGACTCCCGTTCTTAATATAAATTATTTTTATTCGATCTAAACATGATAAATATGAATAATTTAATTTTGAAAAATCAGTAAACCTTGATTAATTAATGATATAAAAAAAACTAGGTCTTCCTAACAACAACTATTAATTGCCAAAAGATGAAGGGTAAGTTAATGATAACTACGAATTGAGCCAATCTAACTAAGATAGTGCGTGGCAATTTTTTTTTTTGGTCAAAAGTGCGTGGCAATTACAATAAAAGGTTTGTTTTCCTAATTTATGAGTATTCCCAAAAAATGATGACGAAATTGATTTTTTTTTTTTTGGGAAGGAAAGAAACAATTGAATCTTGAAAGATTCCATTGCGTCCAATCAGAATCATCACCCGAGTTTAGGCATGTCTCACTATCTGAACCTCATTGGAACACTTAAAAAAACAAAGGGCAAAAAAAAAAAAAAAAGAGAGAGAATCATTAGCAGTCTTTGTTGATTTGGAGTAATAATGTTGAATTGCTTCCACTTGGATTTTGATGGAAAGCAACTTTTTCCAAGCTGTGTTACCTAATACTAACCTTCATTACTTAATTTAAATCTAAATTAGCTTCAAAATTAAGTTGGATGGATGGTGGTTGCTTGCACATGAAAGTTGATAGTTAGCACTTTTATTCTCTTTAACTCTTTTTTCTATTATCCTCTACTATTTAAAAATTCACCAATTAATTCATATAATTTCCACATATTTTTAAACAGATCCCTACGTTTCCCAAAACTTACAAACGCTTCCATAATTGTTATCACATGCTGAGTTAGTCCTTATAAGTTGTCATCTTTGATGAAGACATTTTGTTTTTGATTGTCCATGTGGCCTAATCTCATTAAAACTAGGAGACGTCTTTTTTTAAAAAAGAAAAAAATGTAAAGTTGAGTTGTGTCTAATATAAGAGATTATTCTTTTATAATATGATGAATCAAAATTTGAAATCTCATTGAAAGATGTGCTTATATTTATGGTATGTTTGGATTGGCATTAGACAAAACTGACTTTTAACTCAACTGACTTTTATAACTGAAGTTAAAGTAAAAATTAGTTAGGGTATGTTTAGATAGGTGTTTTTAAAAAGTCAGTTAAAAAAGTTAAAAGTTGTTTGAATCATTAATAGAAAAATTAGTTTAGTTGTAAAATGACTGAAAAGGGCATGAATTTTATTGAATAGTAGTATTTGAAATTTTATGTTTTTAATGTGATAATAATTTAAAAAATATGTAAAATTATTATGATAAAATATAAATAGTTTATTTATGAAATTATAAAATAAAAATATTAGTTACAAAAAAAATATTTGAAAACGCATTGTAGATAATTAATTAAATATACATAATGGACAAACATGAATATAAATTAAAATTTATTTGGTCTGAATAAAAGCTCATTATGTTAACGAAGGAGATGAGGCATAGGAGAAAATGTGAGGATAAATATGAAATGTTCATTTTTAATAATCACCGTTTGAAACTGCAGTTTGAAAAGTCAGATTTTTCTCTGTTGAGTCCAATTGAGGTTGAAAGCTAGAAATTGGTTGGAAAAGTTAGCCCAGCCAAACAACAGTTTTTGTCCAATTCAGTTTGCAATTTCAGTTTCATAGATTCCAAGGCATTTTTACAATTTCTAACTATAATCCAAACATGTTCTTATTTTCTAAACAGAATCGCCTTTGCAGGAAAAAAATGTAAAGCATAGGGATTTGATTAAAAATAATGTAAAGTATAGGGAAAGATGACTAAATTTTCACATTAATATTACAACTTCTGTTTAACAGATATTTTGCCTCTCAGGTGACTTTTAGATATGTAGTACTACCTTCGGTTCTCGATATAAAACCCTATTTAACTTTTATTTTGGTCTTAAATATAAGACCCCAATCCACTTTGTCTTTTATATTTACTCAATTTTTTTCAAGATAAACCTTCTAATAATTATAATTCTAGTTAATACACTTGATTAGTAAGGATATTTTAGGAAAGACAATACTTATTTAGGACAAATAACTAACTCAACTTACTTCCTTAATCTCCTCAAATTAGTCAACTGGCTCTTATAATTAGAATCGGAGGTAGTAATAAACAAATCAGGCTTAAAATGGTAGGTAAGAAAGAGAGACAAAACTTTATATAATTATAAATAAGATCTTATAATTAAGATAAGAGGTAGTATATTTTTAAAAAATGATCATAATTTTTAATATTTTTAAATTCAAAATTTAACTACATTAATTTTCTTTTTCTCTTCTTTGACCAAAAACAAATGTAGAGTACGAGTAGCTCCTAAACTCTACGGACCCATCATCACTCATAAGAAAATAGTCAAATACTGAGAGTGAGACGTAGCTAACTCCTGAAGGAATTGAGCGGTTTAGGTAGGAAATTTATTTCCCTTGTGACTCTTTCATTAACTTTATTTTTGGAATTTTTAAAATTCCTCCCCAGAAAACGAGCTTCAATCATCTTAATATTGAACCAAAAAACGAAAGAGAAAGGAACATGGTAAGCTCACTGATTCTGGGGAACTTGCTGAACTGATAATAACAACGATCATAACCATTGATATCTCCCCTGTTCTATCCGAAGAGTCAGCTAAGAATTTCTGAACTTGTAAGATGAAAATTGAACTATAAATTCCCTTTCTTCATCTTCTTCTCTGTAAAACCAGAAAGAGAAGAGAGTCAACTTGAGGCTAACTAATTTTTCAGAAGAGGTCAAGGAAGCGGATAATGTATAAAACGTGAAGCAAATTTATTGGTCCACTAGTAACATCAACACAGGAGGAATGGGCACGTACTGTATGAACCTGATTTTCTGGAGTATGGAGACTGTTACAACTGACCCATTTCAGAAGGCAATTTGTATTAATAAGTAATTCAAATAAAATAATACGCTTCTTGAACAACAGAATATAATCCATTACCTACAAGTTTGAGAGAATCAGAAGGAGAAACCCAGAGAGGCAATTGAAGTTTTGAGTGGTAAAACAAGGCATATATCTTTTCCACAGTCGAAGGAGTAAAGGGAGCTTCGGAAATTTCCAAAGGGCAGCTGGATAGATAGCTGGATACTTTGCTTTAAAGCACCAAAAATTAAAATATGCTTTTCTCTTGCAAGCGGATGCCGCAAGGTCAATACTGCAATCCACGTATGCCTCCCGTATTTCCATCAGTGAATCAATGATACAAGCAATCAATAATCAGCCATATATACCTCTCGCCCATCACCATCTCACGCCAATAGCAGTGCTGTGTAAGCCAACAATACCACCAAATCCTTCCCTTTGGTTCAGTCTGTCTGTCTGTCTCTCTCTCTCTCTCTCACAGCTTTGCATCAAATATATTATTTTCTCACTCTCTCTCTTTCTCTTCCTGGGAGAGCTCACCATCAATGGAGTAAAAGCAACTCCGAAATCCTGGCGTGCCCGAAACCATTGGGAGAAATCCAGAAATAATCAAACCCCAGATTGGATATTTTGTGCTTTTTCTGGGTTTGTATGACTTTTTTTGGGGGACTGGTCCAGTGAGAGAAACAGAGTGAAGAACAGAGTATAATCCTTTTTATGAATGAAGAAAGGAAGTTTAAGAAGAAGTAGTCAACCTGGGAAAGCCCGGAGAGTTTCTGTTGGAGGGTATCTTCGATTGCATCCATGAAATTACGGTGGCTCTGGCTTTTTGTGGTAGGATGAGTGATTCTGCCTACAGAGTCGAAACCACTTCGCGCCTCGCCCAATGGAGAATCGAAAACCCTGCTTCCTGCACTTACCGCAAATCTGATCCTTTCAGGATCGGCAAGTGGAATTGGTAAGCTACTCATCCCAATTAGATGGGTTTATCTATTCACATGTAAATTATATCTACTTGAAATAGACTGAGTTCCTTTCTTTCTTTTGAATGAAGGCATTTGGCCGTGGAGAAGAACCGGGTTTTATTTGTAAAATTATATCCCGAAATATCGAATCTAACCAGAGACAACCCCCCGATTGCATCTTTTATCATTCGGGTCGTTAGTTCTGCTGGGGATCGCAAGGCCTTGACCCATCCAGGTAACCAAAGTTCTGCTCTATTCTTTCCCCTCTTTATTAAACTGGATAATTCTAGAAAGACCCCCCCTTTTGGGGTAGTGATCATCTATATTCTGGAGAAGTTTTACCTTAATGGTTACAACCTCAGTGAAAACCTTAAAATATAACGGATTTCTAGAATTACCCGAATACGTTTTCTTGTTTATTCAGTGTTATTTACGAAAAAGGGGATATGATCTAATGATCGGAAGTTTTCTCTGTTCCCCTCTGTAACTCCTTGCCTTGGACTAATGTTTTGAAAGTTGAATCAGAAGCTAGAAAAGCTAATATGCATTATCCTAATGCTTCTTACTTATTCAGAGTTTCTCAACAATCATCCCTTGTGAGGAAGTTTAGTATGTCAGGATTCTTAACAAGACAGCATTTTTCTCATTTTTTGACTGATTACTCCTTTACCACGATGCAGTAGTAAAAGACAAATTGATCAAGAATAGCGAAGACTTTGTTTGGGCACTTGAGGTTCCAGTAACTGGGAAATTCATTATTGACGTCGAGTTCCTTGATTTGAAGACTGCATCCCCAAACGTACATTTCTCTCGACTTTTACTTTGCATCACTTTTTCCATGCAGCAATCCTAGCAAATGATGATTACTTCGAGAAAATTGCATAATCTACTGCTATAATCACGACCAGTTTATCAATTACATTTGCCCAGTGTTGATAAATAATCAGTGAGAACGAAGCAGAATCACGCTACTCATGTTCAGTCAAGTAGAGTTTTTGAACAGATTAATCAACCTTTACTAATTGCTTACCTTGTTTACAACTTGCTGGTCCAATGCAGGGTGGAGAACCTTGCTCCATCTGGGCGGAAGGACTTACACCAAAGGCATCTAATGCAACAGCTCTTGAAGCTCTTAGTCGGATGCTAATTGAAGGGATCCACACAGACATAGTGATCAATGCATCTGATGGAAGCATTGGAGCTCATCGCGCTGTTCTTGCTGCTCGATCTCCTGTCTTTCGCAGCATGTTTTCACATGACCTTAAGGAGAAGGAGCTATCAACAATAAACATTGAAGACATGTCCATTGATGCTTGCCAGGCATTCCTCAAATATCTTTATGGTAGCATAGGAACTGAAGAATTTCTCACACACAGGCTTGTCCTTCTTCATGCTGCTGACAAGTATGACATATCTGACCTGAAAGAGGCATGCCATGAAAGCCTTGTAGAAGACATTGATACCAGAAATGTTCTTGAGAGGCTTCAAAACGCATCCCTGTACCAATTACCAAAACTGAAGAGTAGCTGCTTACGGTATCTTGTAAAATTTGGGAAAATATTCGACATCCGGGATGATTTCAACTCCTTCCTGCAGGGTGCAGATAGGGATCTGATTGCTGAAGTCTTCCATGAAGTTCTCAATGCCTGGAGAGGGTTCTGAAGATCTTCCTATTGCAAAGAAGGAGAGGAAGAAAGGGTGTATTATAACAAACAAACCCATCATACGGGATGCTTGGATTTTTATTTTTTATTTTTTGGAAGGATTTGTTTCCAGGAATGCTATTCTTTTCTTCAGATTGGAAATTGTTGTGATTTCAATGTACATATTTATTGATGCTCTTGGCATATAGACCAAATCATTCTTGACTGGAAGAAAAAATGTATATGTGAAGGAAAACAGCAATGATTTCAGGAACCCTATTGGTTCTGACAATATATCACTTTAGAACTTTCTGATCAACTTGATGATTGTATGGTGGGAGATATAGAACCAGTATACCATTGTCCATAACAATATCACATGTCTAGTGGCAGATTAAGATACTGCCTTTCCAACATGTGCAGTGAAAAAGAAACGGACACAAATTATGAATTCAGGAGAAGGCAAAGTAAGATGATGATTTTCAAGTCTATATAAAGCTTAAACTTGAGGCAAAACTAAATCAAATCTAAATAAAGTTGTAAAATATTCCAATCTTCATCGTTTGCACCCCATTGAGCAGGGCAAAGGCATTTTTTTTCTAATGAAAGGATTCATCAAGAGCACAAGATTCACAGAATCCAAAGCAAGACACGAGGGTAAACATGCGAATACAATCAAGGACGACAACATAATAGGCTAAACCCTTAGCTTGCTGATCTTATAACAATCTGTTAACATCCAATAGAGTTCAGAATCTTAAACTTGGTCGTGCGAAAACTCTTGAGATTGATGTGCAGAGAGAAACCTTGGGATTTCTCATAACGCAGGACAAAGATTGAAGTAACTTGTTATATGTGCCTTCCAAGTTTCATCATTCTAATACCCTGAATTATTCTTCGAATCATGGAAAGAACCAAACTAATGAACAGAAAAGATCACACAGCAAATTTGTAGGGGCCATTACTGATAGATTTGAATCCTCTCACGTTACTTGAGCGGTTATGTTGAAAACAAGAAGGCATAAAAAAACAACATCGTTAAGTTAATATTTGGCTCTTGTTTTAAGGATCATTTGGTTCAACTACTCATACTTCTCGGGAATCAAATTGAAAACACGGTGAAAATGTAAAGACCAAGTCTATAATTTAACATAGATGAATATACAGAAGTCTCTATTGGGTGGTCCAATTACATAAAAAGATCCAAACGATAGGCTAAGTAAAAGTTAGTCTACAATCTACAATTATTTTTTTAAACTTTTGCAGTATAGTGCTGTTCAGTAGGAAGACAGCATTGGCTTCCATATGAAAGAGAAAGGGGAAAAGAAAAGGATTAAGGGACATTCTAGAACAAATAAGTCGATCCCCAAATATATGCAAAAGATGATCCACAGAGATAAAGCAGAAGGGATGGTCTCTATTTAACGGGAGACACAAGACACATTGATAACTCCAGTGTCCCCCAATAGCAATTGAACACTTATTTATAGAGATGATAAGAGACAGCTTTGTTAATGCAAATGGCGGATTACCGGCCTATCATTGATCATTCCGACGTAGACATGGAAACTACAGATTAAATGGTCCCCATGCACAGAGTCCTTTTCCTTCCACGGAAGTTAAGCATCAAAACCTAAATCATTAAACATAAAATCGGAGACTACGACCAAACAGCGAAGATAGCCTACTCTAGAATAAGAAGATCAGGAGCAGAGCCCAGAAAGCTAAGGAACTCACCTTTGACGTGAAAATCTGTTTGGGGGGCAATCATCCAAGTGGTAGCCAGAAGACGGCATGAAGTTGCAGAGAGATTTGAGGGAAAGAAATGGGAGGAAGCAATGGGGCAGGAAGGAGCATTATGAAATGTGACTGATGCGTTGAGAAGAATATTACGAGCATCTTTTTTGCTCTTCGCTGTGATGAGTATGACGCTATGACCCAGCCAGCCTGTTGTTCGTTGAAGAACATGGACTTTTAACAGAGGCTTTTCCACTTTTAACGGTTGCTAAAAGTTATTGATGGTCAACAAAAGAAATCATTTATTAATATATAATATCATCAACCTATTATAAAACTTATAATAAATAAAACTATGTAAAAATTATTTAAAAAAAAAAAACTTAAATCATGTTTCTTATATTCATTGACCAAGTTTAATGAGAAAATTTAAGATACTTATTAATGCATGAAAATTTGTTGTTATTTTTTTCCTTGAAAAAATGAACACGTATTGTTTGCAATCTTTTTTAATAAGATATGAGAAGGATCGGAGGAATATGCCAAGGGGGAAAAAAAAGGACATGATAAAATTTGAATAGGATCTTAAATGTACATCTTGTGAATTGAAAAAACTTCCTTATTCTCAGAATTGCCACACTGTTCACTTCTTCTTTGTATATAAGTACTGTTTTCTTGGCAGAAAAGATTGATTAATGATTCAAATTTTTCTGTCATTACAAATATTTCTCGTGAGTATAGAGCTTTTTTCTTAGATGATTTCAGACATAAGTTTTCTTTATCCCAAAAAAAAAATCAAAATTTTGAGGGGGGAAAAAAAGTCCACTATTCAATTTCGATGGCTACTTTGACGTGGATATATCCCAGCACTGGAATTAAACATGTCCAAGCTAACCCTTCAAGATTGTATTGTGCCCTCTTTTATAGATTTTTCCAAACTTTTATCCTTTTAGACTAATAATTTTCCGAAGTAAAAGTCAGAATTTCTTTTGTTTCTATTGAGCAGAAGTCAGATTTTTGTTCATGTCTGCCACTAAATGTCCTAATATAAGATACTACCTCTTGTTCTAATTATAAGAGCTAGTTGATTAATTTAAAGAGATTAATAAAATAAGTTAAGTTAGTTATTTGTAATAAATAAGTGTTGTCTTTTCTAAAATATCCTTATTAACCAAGTTTATTAGTTATAACTACTATTATTAGAGGGACTACCTTGAAAAAAAATGCTTAAATATAATAGACAAAGTGGATTGAGATCTAATAATTAAGACCAAAATAAAAGTCAAATGAGGTCTTATATTAAGGACAGTAAGTAATATATCTTAACTAGGTTTTTCGAAGATTTATTTAAAAAATTTCTGCATAATCTTTTGGCCACGTAGTATTACAACATAAGGTACTTGAATACTTTTCTTTCTGATTTTCCCGTTGAATTCAAACCACTTGGTTCTTGTTGAAAAATCTTTCCTTTCTCCAACAAAAATGAAGCTCCTTCTGAGATGAGATTATCCCCATCCCATAATACCATCAAAACATTGAAAAGTAAAAGCTATCAATGAAAATCAACTTATATAAGCAGGGGAAAAAAAGGAGCCCCTCTACGCACCAAATTCTTCAAACACAATTCCAGAATCAAAAACTCATTGAAGAAATATAATATGACGGGTTTATCTGTTTTCCACTTTCTTCTATCATCAATCCTTCTTCTTTCCTGCGTCCTCCTGCAATACCAGCCAGTTCACGCCATTAAAAAGGCAAGCTCCACTTTTTCTTCTTGCTCATTTGAGATTCTGGATTTGTTGTTCTGAATAGACAAGAGTTTCTATTCTTAGTTTCAATTTCAGTACACGCATTTGGATTCTGAAAATGCATGTCAGCTGTTTGAATCTTGTTGTGTGTGGCAGTCTTACGTTGTATACTTAGGATCACATTCGCATGACCCAAACCCTTCTGCTAATGATCAAGATTCTGCCACCAGTTTTCATTACAGCCTACTAGCTTCACACTTGGGAAGGTATAGAATCTAATGAACTCCGTGAAATTTTCAAATGAACTTTTACATTCCAGTAGATAAAAACTAAAAAAGCTTAACCCTGTAGAAGAGAAGGTAAAACAAAAGCTGATCATTTGAACGTAAATATTCATTGGCAGCCGCAAGAAGGCGAAAGAAGCGATATTTTATTCATATAACAGACATATCAATGGTTTTGCTGCGTTGCTCGAGGAGGAGGAAGCAGCAGATATTGCAAGTAAGAGAATTAATATATCAACTCTGCTTTGCTCTTTTTTCTCACACTGAGAATGAAATCCCAGTAATTGACATGTTGTTGTGTGTGATGATTTTGGAAGAAAATCCAAAAGTAGTGTCAGTGTTTATGAACAGAGGCCACAAACTTCAAACCACACGGTCCTGGGAATTTCTGGGATTAGAGAACAGTAATGGGCAAGTTTTGGAAGACTCAATCTGGGAGAAGGCTAGATATGGAGAAGATACCATCATTGGTAACATCGATACTGGTGAGTTTTCGTAATCATAATAGGTTTGATTTGATCCTTATAATATATGAATGAACTAATAATAAGAATGATCATGTAGGTGTATGGCCTGAATCGAGGAGCTTTAGCGACGAAGGAATGGGACCAATCCCTTCAAGGTGGCGAGGTGCATGCCAACTTGACAATTTTCGTTGCAATAGGTCCGTCCTCTTTGCATTATTTTCCTTCGTTTTCAACAAAAGCACAACGAGTTTGACTTTAACGCTAGTTAATAGATAATCATTGATGAAATATCTTCGACAATCTGCTAGTCATCGGCGGCAAGTTTCCGACGACCAGACGGCCACCGCTATCGGTCTCCGACAACTGGTCGGCCAAGAGCATATGCGTGAATTCCTTATATTTTCAGTTACATCTGGGTCTTTTGTTTGAATTTTAGCGTTTTACTTCCACAAAGATAATTTTGTTTTTCGCGGACGAAATTTGATTATTTATGTTTGAAATGCAGAAAGTTGATTGGAGCACGATTCTTCAGTAACGGTTACGAGTCCCAGTTTGGCAAACTCAACGAATCGCTCTACACAGCGCGCGACGAGTTAGGCCATGGCACTCCTACTCTCTCCGTCGCCGGAGTAACTTCGCTCGTGGCGCAAACGTTCTTGGCTTCGGCAATGGCACCGCCAAGGGTGGGTCCCCCCGAGCCCGCGTCGCCGCCTACAAGGTCTGCTGGCTCTCTGTCACCGGAATCCAATGTACCGATGCTGACGTCATGGACGCCTT